AACACAAAAAACATTTTTAACCACCAAATTCAGTTCAGTGGGTAATTCAGTGGGTTGTTCAGTAGGTTGTTCAGTGGGTCTTTCATTTGGTTGTTCAGTGGGTGATTCAGTAGGTCGTTCAGTGAGTGAGTGAGTGAGTGAGTGAATATGTGCATTCCCATTGATATTCTATGGTGGTCACTTTTGACTGGGAACACCACAGGTGTAACAAGGTTGATTAAAACACTCAAAATTCAATGAAAGAGGTAATCATCACTTTTATATGTTCAAGTGCATAGTGTGGAGGATATCATAAGGCTTTGAGACAATAAGGCCTTAAGACAATATTTATGAGTGTGTTAAGTCTTAAATCGGTCAAGTTTGACCCGAACACAACGAGAAGATTACTTTGTCCGTTGGTTAACAGCCAATACTTTGTCTGTTTCTATTTGCAGTTCCTTCAGGATCTTAGCTTGGGCATTCTCAATAACCTCTGGGGATGTACAGCGTGGGCCATTTATATGGATACACCATAATAACATGGGTTATATGGTTGGTGATATTAAAGTTCTGTTTGTGGCACATTAGTATATGTGAGGGGGCAAACTCCTCAAGATGGGTGCTGACCATAGTGGCCATTTAGAAGCCGGCCATCTTGGATACAACCTTTGTTTCTTCAATAGGAAGAGGGCCATGTGACACATCAAACTTATTGGTAATGTCACAAGAAAAACAATGGTGTGCTTGGTTTCAACGTAATTTTATTCTTTCATGAGTTATTTACAAGTTTCTGACCACTTATAAAATGTGTTCAATGTGCTGCCTATGGTGTTGGATTGTCAATGCAACCCTCTTCTCCCACTCTTCACATACTTATAGCAACACCGCAGGAGAAATGCCACCACAGGCATCCAGTATCCATAGTTTCAGGTGCTGCACATTTCGTATCTTCACACCATAGACAATTGCCTTCAGATGACCCCAAAGATAAATGTCTAAGGGGGTCAGATCGGGAGACCTTGGGGGCCATTCAACTGGCCTACGATGACCAATCCACTTTCCACAAAACTGTTTATCTAGGAATGCTCGGACTTGGCACCCATAATGTGGAGGTGCACCATCTTGCTGGAAAAACTTAGGGAATGTGCCAGTGCATAAAGAGGGAAACACATCATCATGTAGCAATTTCAAATATCCAGTGGCCTTGAGGTTACCATTGATGAAGAATGGACCCACTATCGTTGTACCCCATATACCACACCAAACCATCACTTTTGTTGGTCCAACAGTCTTGGAGGGATCCATCCAATGTGGGTTAGTGTCAGACCAATAGCGGTGGTCTTGTTTGTTAACTTCACCATTCACATAAAAGTTTGCCTCATCACTGAACAAACTCTTCTGCGTGAACTGAGGTTCCTGTTACAATTTTTGTTTTGCCCATTCTGCAAATTCTGTGCGCCGATCTGGGTCATCCTCGTTGAGATGCTGCAGTAGCTGGAGTTTGTAAGGGTGCCATTTGTGAGTAGCTAATATCCGCCGAAGGGATGTTCGACTAATGCCACTCTCCAGTGAAATGCGGTGAGTGCTACGCTGTGGGCTCCTGCTAAATGAAGCTAGGACAGCCACCGATGAAATGGCCACCATGGTCACCACCCATCTTGCCGAGTTTGCCCCCTCACATATACTAATGTGCCACAAACAGGACATTAATATCACCAACCATTCCCATGTTATTATGGTGTATCCATATAAATGGCCCACCCTGTACAATGCCAATTCCAATGAAGTTGGGATGTTGTGTAAAACTTAAATAAAAACAGAATATAATGATTTGCAAATCCTTTTCAACCTTGAGTATATTCAGATGAATACACTACAAAGACTAGTTATCTGATGTTCAACCTGATAAACTTTATTGCTGTTTTGCAAATCTTCACTCATTTTGAATTTGATGCCTTCAACACATTCCAATAAAGCTGCGACAGGGGCATGTTTACCACTGTATTACCTTTCCTTTTAACAACACCAATAAGCATTTGGGAACAGAGGACACTAATTGTTGAAGCTGCATAGGTGGAATTTTTTCCCATTCTTGCTTGATGTACAATTTCAGTTGCTCAACAGTCCGGGGTCTCGGTTGTCGTATTGTAACACATGCAGAATGCAGAAAGTAAGCAAGGACGTCCCTGAAATAGACCTTGCTTGGATGGGAGCATATGTTGCCCCAAAACCTGTATGTACCTTTCAGCATAATTGGTGCCTTCACAAATGTGCAAGTTACCTATGCCATGGGCAAAATCACACCCCATACCATCACAGATGCTGGCTTTTGAACTTTGCGCCGATAACAATCCAGATGGTTATTTTCCTCCTTGCCCCGGAGGACACAACATCCATGATTTCCAAAAACAATTTGAAATATGAACTCGGCAGACCACAGCACGCTTTTCCACTTTTTGTCAGTCCATCTCAGATGAGCTCAGGCCCAGAGCTCAGGCCCAGAGAAGCCGACGGCGTTTCTGGGTGTTGTTTGAACTAGCTTGCGGCCGCAGCTCAGTGCAGCAGCTTCGGCCGCAAGCTAGTTGGTGCCTTTTGTGGTGGTAATCAAGCCAACAAGCTGAAGAAGGAGTCCTACTGGGCTTGGTTAGCCTGTGGGACTCCGGAGGCAGCCGACAGGTACCGACAGGCCAATGCGGAATGCGGCGTGGGTGGTGGCTGAAGCAAAAACTTGGGTGTGGGAGGAGTTTGGAGAGGCCATGGAAAAAAACTTTTGGACTGCCTCGAAGAGATTCTGGCAGACCGTCAGGCGGCTCAGGAGGGGAAAGCTGTGTTCTACCTGCACTGTGTATAGTGC